ACCTTTTCTCTTACAACTAAATTATAAAAGCCACATGCTATAACATTCTCCCTTTTTCTTTTTCTTTTTCTTTTTTTTCTTTTTCTTTTTGAAGTTATCAAATTGGAAAATACTTATAGAATAGAGGGACCCTTTCCATTATTAAAATGCATTTTTAATTTAATAATTAGTATTTCACAAATCAGTTTAAATTCTAATTATTTTTAATTTTTTTCGATAAAAAACCTCCATACTTCATTTTTAAAAATTAACAATGAAGATTGAAAAGGTAAATTTAAAGAGAAAAATAAAAATTAGAACTTTCTAAAATTTAAAATGATGAATTGTCTATCAAATTATTTAAATACCTTTAATATGGATTAAATATTTTTTATTATATTAATTCATTAAAAATATTTAACTCTTTTTATTATCATTCTAAATATTTTAATTGTCACCAATACCATATATTAATTTTTCACAATCCCAAAAAATAAAAATAAAAAACCTAAAGAGTAGGCTTTTTTTTTTATATATATATATTTAAACTACTAGTACAATTGAAGGATAGAAAATGAAATTATCATAGTTTAAACTTTAGACTTTTAAATATAATTATCCTTAAAAAAGTTGTAACTATTGGATCATGGTTGGGAAAGAATATACCTTTTCACTTAGACTCCAAAAATAATGGAAAAATCATTAATGAAGGGAGGAAGAATGGCTTAGGTTCAAATCACATGCGCTACTCTTCTTCCCCACAAATTGTCCCTGTTCAAAAAATAAAAAAAATTCATAACCTTTTATGAATCTCTGGTACAGACACAATGATTTAATTATTAATATTATATGAAATTTATTTGATGGGTTGTGTTTAAATCTCACCAATCTCTTCTTTATCTTCCATTTCTCCCCTTTCCCTAGCGGTAACAAATTGTTTATATTAAAAAAAAAATAAAGATCATAACCTTTCATTTTTTTTTTATTTTAATATTTTAACATGAGATGGATTCAAAACTTGTCAAAAAAAAGAGAAGTGCACCTGTTTAATGGCTAATGCCATGGGCCCTCTAAGTTCAGGTGCTTTCACCTTATTCTTTTTAATTGAAAATATAATATATACTTTTATTAATTAATGGTATTATTTTTCAAAAATTTTCAATAAAAGGTATAATTTTTATGATTTTATGAAAAAATGACTAAGTGAACGTGCATATGATTATATTTTTAACTTGAAACTTTTTAGAAACAATAATTTAGATTATTAAAATTCTAAATATCTTATCTTTTTTAATTAAAAATTTTTACAAGGTGAAGAAAGAACGACATCGTTTCGGAAGCGAGTTTTGAATGTAGTGTACGTTGGATTAAAGGAGAGAAGCAGCCAGACAATCATATGAGAGAACCAACGGCCAGGATCATCCCAACACTAGATCTAATTTCATTGGCTGCGGAAATCCTCCCCCGAATGCTGATTGGTCCACGTCACCAGCGATGACATGTTCCCTTCCCCATAACTTGTTAATAATAATAATAATAATAACAGTAAAATCTAATCACTTGATAAAAACTAAATCAGAGCAAAAACTTTTAAACAAGAGATAACCACTTAAACCTTCAACCACCAATGCCAACTTAGCATTAATCGACTCCCGTCTAGTTTGGAGGTGAGTATAAAATATTAAAGTAATGTGAACACAAGAAAACATTTTTAATTTTACTTTAATACACAACGTCCAGGATTTCTAGTCCGGGATTTCTATATATATGTTTAGATATATATTTTTCTTTATTACTTAATTTGAGAGGTGGGTTGTTGGGGGAGGGTGTTATACGATTCATATTCCTAAATAA